CATGTATTCATATATTCAACCATAGTAACAGCGGGTATGAATGTTGAGATAAATTATGATCATCCGAAAGGCCATTGACAGCGGCTGAGTTGTTACATCCAGCACCAATAAAAAACGGGAGATTTGAAAGAGAATCACGTTAAAAAAACCGAGACAATGTTTTCGTTTAAATCTTCGAATAAATAAGTAATACTCCTTAAAATCAGATTAAATTAATTCAGAATTCATAACAAAATATCGCCTTCATTATAAGCCTCGTGAACGGCCTAGATATTTTTATTCGAGTCTCGTTTGCACACGATTTTATTTTTAGTAAAAAAAAGTCGTCATCTTCATTCTCGTTTTTTTTTGCGAACTAAACCGCTGAAAAGATAGCTAAATTTATTATCAGTTCATTTTTTACTGTCTCTTACAAATTTAGTTCATATGTATAAATAATGCAGTTTTATTTGAACAGGTTACAAGTTATTGTATTTCGCGAAAGTTCTAATTTCTAAAATATTTTTTCAAAAATATTTTTTTTTTAATTCGCTGATTTCTTTCATCGTTATTCACAGATCTCAGTGCTTTCAGAGGCTCAGCTCTACTATCTCGCGTATAGTGCGTTCGAAATCGTATCACGAAATCATAACGCGAAACATAAGGTCGAAGCTTTGATTGCATTAGAATGACGTTCTGTAGCACATAATAACATCGCTGGTAAAATAGATACAGCAGTGAAACCTAGATTTGAACGAACTCATAATAAGGGCATATTTACTAATTACAATTTATAAGAACTTAGGTTAGAACGGTAACGTGACTATATATAGTGAATAATTAAGGTCTGATATTAATGCAGGATGTGCTTCCTTCATTGTAAAAGTTATGCGCAAAAGTGTCAGGTACGAGTTTGCTTAGAAAAAATGGTCCAAATCAAAAAAGAAACAGCTTACACCGTCATTTGATTAGTCAAATAAATGCGGATACGCCGAGCGTCTTAATTCTTAGGACACGGACACTTCTACGTTCAGCGTTACTAAAAATCTTAACGAATCAAATATCAATACAGAACCGCCAATTCTATCAAATGTATTAAAAATGACATTTTAAGAAACGTTCTACCTGATTTCAATAAGATAAAAGTTCTAAAGACGTACTTACATTCAGAGTTCAATTTACTACCATTAACTGGAAGAGAATGTAAATGATTCAATTAATTCATGTAATTTATTCTATTGTAAATAATTCGTTACGCAGCAATTCGTAACGTGTTTCAATTTTAATCTTAGTCATACGTAGCCGTAGCTAAGCTAATTACATTAAAATCTACAAAGAACTTCAAGTTGATTCGGGCGGGCTTCAGTAGAAATTATTATCGTGCCTTTTCTTATGTGCTTACAGTGAAAATAATTTGGCCTAAGCTATGTTTTAGACTGCTTGAGTGAAATTAGTTTTAATAACAATCATAGGTTGGTTTGATGTTTTGTTATATCTAAATTTAATAATCTTCTTAGCTGTATGGAGAAGTTGAATAAATAGCATATTTACTTTTTGTATAAATCATGCACTTACAAGTTTTCAGTACAAATTCTGTTTGTGTCTACAGTCTATTTCTGGTGTCTCCATTTAATTTAATTAATTCACACTTAACGTCTTGAAACAGGGAAGCGATTATTCTAAACCAATTGATATTTCTAATTAGTATATCTATAAGCGCATTCGGGTTGTTGTATCCTTGGGTTCCAGTAAATACTTAACAGCTGGTTACTGGTGGTAGGACCTCTTGTGAGTCCGCGCGGGTAGATACCACCGCCTTACCTATTTCTGCCTTGAAGCAGTAATGCGTTTCGGTCTGAAGGGTAGGGCAGCCGTTGTAACTGTACTGAGATTTTAGAACTTATATCTCAAGGTGGGTGGCGCATTTGCGTTGTAGATGCCTATGGGCTCCAGTAACCATTTAACACCAGGTGGGCTGTGAGCTCATCCACCCATATAAGCAATAAAAAAAAAAGCTGATCCGTGAGGCCGCCCAATAATTAAGAGACCTAAAAATAAACATAAACAATGGGCACTGTTAATTTTTGCAAACATGTAACTGACGTAAGTACGTCATCAGTTCAAAAGCAAAATGAAAAAACAAAAACAGCATTCTCAATTGAAAGACGTGTAATACGTTTTTGCGAAATCAAACAAACAAAAAAAAAAACAAGGTTACGAACACAACTCCCAGTTTTAACATTCTCGAGTGCAAACAAGTCCGTGAAAACTTGTTCCGCATTGTGGGACCTCGCGGGACGTGTTTATTGCAAATAGGAGCTCAACCGACACTGGAACTAAACTAAACGGGGATTCCGAGTGCTGAGATCCGATCTCGGGTAAACCTCGGCCCCGCTCTTAATCATAATTTTATTCTGTGTGATGGATATTGTATCATCAAAGACGGTACGCGGATAGTCACTTAATAATGTTACGAGAAAATGTTGCCTTTTATCCGATTTTCAATTCATTTTCCTTAGTTACTCACAACAGATGTATTCGTTCGTGTGAAATGGAAAACAAGCTCGTGATTAAAAGACAATTTACGGTTCGGTCTCCTGCTTATTTTATTCATTTCTGAATCCGACCTTTCGTGTTTATGCAGTACATTTAAACTCTTTTATTTATGTCTAGGATACCCAACTGTCTAGAAAAACATTATAAATTCACCGTGTTTTTAGTTTTTTTCTGCCACCGAAGGCTCGATCTTATGATTCAATAGTAAGTGGACCTTCGCTCGTGCACCTGGTCGATTCTACTTGCTTTTTTGCCTGCCTATGGTCCATTGCAGAAGACTGCAAAGTAGATGGGAAGATGACACCAAAAAAGTGGCAGGAACGACTTGGATGAGAAAACGCAGGTTAAAATGCTATGGAGAACCCTCGGGGAGGCCTATGCTGTACAGCAAGACGATCAAGAAACCGGTGCCGAATAATAAAACTAGATAATAAGTGTATTAAAAATGTAACTTAAATTAGATTGTTAATAAAGGCTTATCTTATCTTATCTTATGCCTCATTTGCATGGAGGGACCATTCTGGCTTCACTATGACTGGTGAGCGAACTCATGTGGCTTCAGCCTCAATGGATTTACTAACATCAGCCCTAGCAAGTGTAGTACTTTGTCGATCTCCACCTAGTGAGAATTCAGTGCGTTGGACGAGAACGGTGATCAGTTCTTGGAAAGGCTAAAATTACCAAGAGTGAATGGAGAGGATCCGAAAGAACATATCTGGGGTGAAGACGGTTGTTCGCTGTTGTGTCATCTGGGTTCGGGAAATTCTATGTGCAGCATAATGATTTGGATAAGCAGATTTTGTGTATTAATTGGAGATACCTTACACTGTTAACATTTTAATTCTTCTTTATAGCAACTTGCCTATTATAATAGATAGATTTACTGGTGGTAGGACCTCTTGTGAGTCCGCACGGGTAGGTACCACCGCCCTGCCTATTTCTGCCGTGAAGCAGTAATGCTTGCTAATAAGGTTTGAAAGGTGGGGCAGCCGTTGTAACTATACTGAGATTTTAGTTAGAGCTTATATCTCAAGATGGGTGGGGCATTTACGTTGTAGATGTCTATGGGCTCCGGTAACCACTTAACACCAGGTGGGCTGTGAGCTCGTCTACCCATCTAAGCAATAAATAAAGAAATAAAAAGATAAAAGTTAAAAGAATTATTTTTCAAAGATGGCTTTTATGATGTTAGAGTGGATTAGAAGGCTATGTAATCGAATCGATTGGAAAAATAATTAACAACCCAACCGAGTGCCGTAGGTTCCGATAGAGTTTGAACGGAGAATTGAAAGAAACTTTGAGTTTCAAAGCAAAGTCATTTCCACCTTATGCTCTTTGCTGGGAACATTTTGTTAAAGATTCTTCGATAAAAATAAATTATATTGCATAAATACAGAATTAATCCGCACTTTATCTTATCATATTGATATACGGAGCGCGGTGTTCATTTAATCGGAGGAGTTATCACTTTAACTAAGCTTATGTTTTCTTTTCAAATGGATATTGCGACTTCTCCATTAAGCAGCACTAATAAAAACATCCTCAGCATATTTGTTCAACATTAATTCCTCTATTCCGTCCTCTAATTATATTATGGAGACTAATGGAATCGCGTATTTTTATTATTGTCTTTGTAGATAGACAACCATAACACCATCGTAAATAGGTCGCCGTCGATAAAAGATGTCTCTAATGCCTGGACATCTCTAATGTCTGTTTTCTGTCGCAAACGCAACGCCGAGAGCGGGATAATTATTATTCGAGTCCAATTAAATGCACTTAATTTTATGCATCATAGCATTGTTGTTTCTACTTTCCTACACATAATAACTAAGAAAATAGTAATGTATGTTACTCCTTTCTACTTTGTCGTATCACTCTTGTCAGTGGTCGTGGTTGTCATTCAGTATCATTGCTGTGGGCAGATGTTATACGCTTTAGGAGCAATCATCACTTTTCCCGGTCTATGGTGAGCCTGGTACTCATGCAAACAGCCGCCAACTTGACTTGACTTGGTCGGTCCATCGCATGGGCAACCATCCACGCGGTCTAGTGCCTTCTACTTTGCCCTGAACAACAAGGCGCTCTATGGAGTCATTTCCTCGCCGGGAGATGCCCAAAAAATGATAGTATGCGCCCATGCAAGAGTGCCGAAAGAAAGTTCTTGAAGAATGGAGATATTGATGCGAAGTGTGATCCATGAAATACCAAGCATTCGTCTCCAGTAATGTATGTTAATAATCGTCATCGCCACCACCATCTCCAGAGTATCGACCTTCTTTTTCTCGACCCAATCCCAAAGTCCACGTCTCCGCAGCGTACAAAAATATGGGGAAAACAAAAGCTCCTACGAGCCGGATCTTTGTGGTTTTGGTGATGTTTCTGTTCTTCCATATCTTCTTCAGACTTTACTACACAAACACAGTATATTTGTATACCTTTCAGCTATATAATTAGAAGCTTACCTGGTTCGTGATGCGCTGCCGGTGAAGGCGCCGAGAACGCGCTGGAGCATCCGGCTCGACGAGCTAAGCCTCCAATCTCCGGAACTAAAAAATAAATTGAATTTAACTAAGTGCAATAAATGTTTATAATATTATAGGATTGTTTTTTTTTATTGTTTAGGTGGGTGATGAAGCTCACAGCTCACCTGGTGTTAAGTGGTTAGTGGAGCCCATAGACATATACAACGTAAATGCGTCACCCACCTTGAGATATAAGTTCTAAGGTCTTAAGTATAGTTACAACGGCTACCCCACCGTGGAAGTCAATCGTGAACATTTGTTGAGTACGTATTTCATTAGAAAAATTGGTACCCGCCTGGGATTCGAACACCCCGTGGATCGCTCAACACGAATGCACCGGACGTCTTATCCTTTAGGCCACGACGACTTCGCCGTTAACCGTTTCAATTTAAAATTTTCTGTAAACACCCGACAATAATATTATTATTACAAAGAACTATGAAATCTTGGCGGCCGTGACTTATTAGCTGACACCTTATAAGCTAAATGACTCGTCGAGAATGTGTGGAGGTATTTAAATTGTGATATCCATTTGCTTTATTGACCTCTTAAAATATGGGGATATGAGCGCGCGCTACTGATCTACGTCAACGTAATTATTACAGCTCAATGACATAACCCAGCACTTAGTTTAAATATAAAAAAAATGTAGAAACAAAACAAAATTAAAATGTAAACACAGGAAATTGTTAATAAAAAACTTTATATGATATCGTAAAGTTGTAAATCATTTTAGATGGAGGTTTGCAATATTTGTTCCAGTTGAAGGATGTGCGTCACACGTGAAACCAAATCTAATTATGAAGTTGGGAGCAACCGCTGTTGTTTACCAATTAAGTGTTCTGTTACACTTGCTTCTATTGTTACTTCTATTGTTTATTTCAATATATTTTGGATGGGTTACGTGTATAACGGCAGCAATGTTTTTAATTGTGTGGGCTTATCCCACATTCCACATGCACACACATTTACTCTTCACAATATAATACTTATATAATATATTTATTTAATATTGCATTAATGAAAATATTTACATAATTGAAAACTGGTTTTTACTTGGTGTAATCTTTTATGGACCACACAGGTAAATAAGCTGTATTTTAATGGCGCGAAAAGGTTATTATACAGTTTGAAGGATGGGTCCGATATTATAAAATACAATTTATACTTCAATTTCATGTTTTACAGTGAGTGAAGGAACTTCGCTGTGACGGGGTGGGATAATTCCCTTGCTTAACTTTATGTAATACAAATTATTATGATTGCGATAAAATTATGGAAGTTCTGAGATTTACATATCAAATTTACAAATTAATTTATGCCTGTAGTTGATTTGCTGCAAAGATTTATAGCATTGTAATTTATTTTCAATTTCATTAAATATTCGCTTCAATAATTCGAAATATCATTTGAAATAGACAAATGAGTAGGATCGCGCGTATTTGCTTCTTTTCTCATCAATTTTAGTCTACGCAGCCACAAAATAATTGAACATCAATCTTTCTGTTTAGTTTGTTTTGTTTAAAGTTTTCGGGACAAGAAAATTTCCACATGAAAATTTTATTTGACTTTTTCAATTTGATTAAATTAGTACAATAGAACTTTTCATCAATTAAATTGCTATTTTTACGTACGATGTTTCCACGCAATTGCTAGATTTATCTTTGTTATTAAGTAATATTTTGTTGTAATGGGATTTAGTAATATAAAATTGGCGATTGAAAAATAAATAAAGAAGTTACTTTAGCACTAGTAGGAATAAAAAGGAAAACGACAAGTTATTTGACCTAATCCAAATATGTAATTGAATTTGATTCCAGTAGAAGTATTGAACAATTCTCATTATTGGAATTCCAAAAGTCTAACTAGCAAGAATAATCCAATAAGAGTAGAGAAGTAAATATGAAAATACTATTTTTATTGCCGGGCTCACCCCGGTCGCCGAATCCATCGCTTGCGACGAAGGGTTCGACGAGTAAATTAACCCATAGACTGCCCACTGAGTTTCTTGCCGGATCTTCTCAGTGGGTCGCGTTTCAGATCCGGTGGTAGATTCTGCGAAGCTCTGCTCTTGCTAGGGACAGTGTTAGCAACACTCCGGTTTGAGCCCCGTGAGCTCACTTACACCTCAAGGCGAAGCTGAAATAGCCTCTCAAGGCTATCAGCGTAGGTAGGGAAAAAAAGAGGCTCGGTTGATGGTTAGTGGCCTCATCGCTTAGGTGCATTACCGATTCCAGGAACACGGCTGCTGCCTAGGAAACAGAGAACTATAAGAAGAGATTTCCCTAGACTTCTCTGCTTCGTATCGCATTGTCATCTTCAAACAACTAAAATCACATTTATATCTTCTCTGGATTGGGTTTATTTTCAAAGAGCATACTATGAGTACATAGTATACTTCCCTAACAATAAAATACAAATACTTAAATCTGGTGGAACTAAAACGAGCGAAAGGTTGAAAACCCAACAAAGGCGAGCCAGATAAAATACACTTCAAACATATCTTTGAGTTGTCATACACTTTATCCCGTCGGCAAACAAGACACAAAAAAAAATGAAGGCTACGACCGAATGTCGAGCGATTAGCGTTCGGCTTTCATGATTAACTCTCGCAACTCCCCTTTTTCCTCGTAAGTACTTTCGTGATTTTTTGTTCGTTTGCGTCGAGAAATGTCGGAATGGGTTTTTTCGCGTAATAACAAATAGGCCGCCCCGCTTAGGCACTAATCGGGTTTTAACGAAATAGGATTTCGCCGAGCTATGAAAATTAAATGCTCTGGCCCTCGAATTTGAAATATACCGGGGTGTAAATTAAATAAATCCAACGTTGCTCGTAATTTGAATTTCAATCTGAGTTAACTTTTCTTTACGGTTTATGAGTATTGTTTGCAATGTTTTTTTACCTTTATTACCTTATTAATATTTTTTTCCTCTAAAATCAAATGCACATAAATTGAATTCAAATGGATTGGATATATAATTTTATCATCATCATCAGCCTATAGCAGTCCACTGCTGGACATGGGCCTCTCCAATTGTTCGCCACTGAGCACGATCCTCGGCTTCTCTCATCCAGCTCCTGCCAGCCACCCTGCACAGATCATCACACCACCGAGCCTGAGGGTGTCCTGCACTGCGTTTTCCAGTTCGCAGTCTCCACTCAAGAACGCGTTTACCCCAACGGTTATATATAATTTCAATATTTATTATTAGTTATGTAGCAACATCTGAAGAAAGCTTGGGAAATAAATAGGAAACAGTTCAAAGTTTACGATATTATAGTGTCACGGCTATCTATATATTAATACGTGAAGCAAAAACTTTGTATCCCTTTTTACGAAAATTGCGCGGACGGAGGAGTATGAAATTTTCCACACTTATAGAGAATATAGAGAAGAAGTGCACAATGCTAATATTTTTTTAAATAATGCATAAAAGATACATTAAATCAATAAAGAAAACATTACACACACTACATACCATGTATTTGACGCACACACGCATGCATACTATTTATTGTCAAACTTTTGTTCTTGACGTCTGTTGTCAAATTGAGATTAAATATTGTTTGTCTTTGTTAATATTTTTTATAGTATAGTCTTGGCGAAATTTGTGATTATAGAAGTATAAAATACAATCATAATAGTGTACAAACTTACAATTCCAATTAATTATAGTCGAATTTCAACTACTACGGGACCTCTAGTTCATACAAAAACGCATAATCAATCCGTGGCAGATACTCGTAGATGTTGATACATTATCTGTGAACGTCTCTACGTCTTATTGTAATGTTAAATAAAAATAAAAAGCCTTTTATTTGTTGCTAACATTATTCACCATATTACGAAATATGTACTTAGCTAAAACTAACTAATAACAAATTTTTTTGCGCAAGTTATTTCACGATATCGCTCTTACATCATTGAAGTTATTTGTTAACACACGATAGGAACGTATTTGATTAGAAAAATTGGTATATGCCATTCGAATTCGGGAACGGTTGCACCAAAAATAAACCGGTTAGATAAGAGCTATTATGTTCGTATAATGAGACGGCCGGTGTACACAAATCGATAAGGAACTAATCTCGGATCGAAACTAAATTGAATATCGAACAGTATGGGCAGTGCTGATTTCGAGTCTCGTGGACGGCTACAAAGATAAGTGGTCGCTATTTAATATCCTATATGGGGCGAGTTGGAACGTTGCCATGATCGAGTCGAGACGAATTGCAAGCTGCGGCGTACCACATGAGTTTCAAAACGCAAAATAATATTTTAAATTCATATCCATATAAGTTTCAAATTTGTATATCTATACTAATATTATGAAGAGGAAAGATTTGTTTGTTTTTTTGAAGTTATACTTCTTTAGGCGCGTTATGAAAATTTGATGAGTGAAATTTTACGATGCGCGCGCACCGTGACACAAAATTAACAGAAATGAAGTTGCCCACTAAATCGCTCATTACAATACGACCGACGTAACTTGGCGAGTCTGAATATAGCCGCAGGTAAACTTTCCGAACCGTACCGAGAATTACCGAATTTATACGATGTCAAGAAAAGGGATGTCCAATATGCATGTTTGAGGATGTTGTTTAATCTATTTTTTTTCAAACTGATTAAAAAGTAATAAAAAAATTATAATAATAAAAATAAAGTATAACTTCTTACGCGCGTACATAAGTACACGCACCCTTTTTTTTTGTATTGAACAGGCTCTGAAACTACAGGACCGATTTGAAAAATTCTTTCAGTGTTTGGAAGCTACACTATTCTCGAGTGCCATAAGTTTAATCTTTTTTGAAAAAAATTAGGGATCCTTACTAAAACTCCAATAATGTAACCCAAGGTGTAAATAAATACCTAAAATATTCTTTACTTCGCGTGCCCTGGAAAACTATTGATGAAAGATTAAAATAACGTAGATACTACGACTTTGTAGAATACATTATTATTTACAAAAAGTGTCGCGACAGCATATGTCTAACTATTATAGTTATGCCACAATAAGTGTTCTTTTATTACAAAAAAACAAAACAACGTCAAATATCGTTGAAATTTTTGTTAAAGGCCCGAGCGGAGCTGGAGCGGGCCGCTAGTATCTTAATATGATTTAAGAGTACCAATGAACTAACTATATAGGTTTTATGCAGTATATTGTGGGTTATGCGTGTAAGGCGTCATGTGAGCCCGCACGCGTGGGTACCACCACCCTGCTTATTACTGCCGTGAAGTGGTAATTCGTTTTGGCTTAAAGGGCGGCGCAGTCGTGGTTAATGTCTATGGGCTCCGGTAACCACTTAATACAATGTGGGCCGTGAGCACATCTCCGAGAAGGTTCAAAATATGCTGTCGCGTAACTGTGTAATAAATAATATGTATCGTTAGTGAACAGTTTTTTAATGAGCATGTGTTTTCCAAAACCGAATCCCAACATAATCGCATTATTTTTTACGAGTACATTCAAGTACATGTCCAGGTTTATAACAGCGACCCCGCAACGCAAAAACCATGAGTTTCCGAAAATGATTCAACTATCTACGGCATAAAAGTATATGAATACAACACGTAACACTAAACGAGATTTATTAAAATCGTTAAGTCGGCCCGAAAAAAAAAAAAAAAAAAAAAAAAAAAAAAAAAAAAAAAAAAAAAAAAAAAAAAAAAAAAAAAAAAAAATATATATATATATATATATATATATATCGATAGCTCATCTAGTACAAATCAGAGCGTGTATCTTCGAACAAACAGACATGCCGGGATTTAGCGCGCTTTAATGTTTGAGCAGAGTTTTGAGTTGAGTGGATAACTTGTTTATTTAGTGGCCGCGGATGAGACGGCGAGGTCTGACGTGTTGCCGGCATGCCCGATAAATCAACACGGTCAATATGACCACACCGGAATAAATAAATAAATTGAAGGGTGGGGCAGCCGTTGTAACTAAACTGAGACCTTAGTACTTATATCTCAAGGTGGGTGGCGCATTTACGTTGTAGATGTCTATGGGCTCCAGTAACCACTTAACACCAGATGGGCTGTAAGCTCGTCCACCCATCTAAGCAATAAAAAAATAAAAAAAAGATTTTCTAATAAAATTCGTGGGAACAATTATCAATTTTAATACGTAAAGAAATCTATTTTATTCACTATGAATAAATTCATAAAGTAAAAAAAGATGGAAATGACAGCGTTCTCATTTCTCACAGACACGATTATTATGACATATAGAGCATCTGCTTCTACAACGAGTCATTTGATGTGAATGAATGTGATGAAATGTACACAATATATGAGAAAGATATAGAGAGTCCAAGGCCAAAGTGAAATGAGAGATTTTCCGTAATTCATGTGTTAGAGGGTTTGTAGTAGTAATAACTCAAATTTATGTCAGACGACAAAAATACGGATAAGATAACTTAAGTATTATAAAAAATGAGCTTATTTAGGACTATATGCAGATAGACAGAAAACATGAAAGAAAACAATCATTTATGGACTTAATAATAGATTGATTTCATCTCCCACAACAATCGAAGATCATCTTTCATTTTATCGAAGATCATGTTTATTTGATCGTGTTCTGATTTTTATCTAATATATAAAATTCTCGTGTCACAATGTTCGTTCCCATACTCCTCCGAAACCGCTTGACCGATTCTCATGAAATTTTTTATGCATATTCAGTAAGCCTGAGAATCGGCTACTATCTATTTTTCATACCCCTAAGTGATTAGGGTTGTCCACCCCTAACATATTTTTTTTATTTGGACATTTTTTTTGTTATAATGAGGTATTATGTGGTTGAATGAGGTTTTGTTATTTTTATTATATATTCCCTCATCGTTCACAGCACTACATACCTCTTTCACTCATTTACCACATCCTTACACACTTACAATAAGTTAGTTTTTTTTTCTACACTATAAATTCCCTAGAAATCTTATATATGGCAAAACAATGTTTGCCGGGTCAGCTAGTATAATATAATTGTACCATTTACATATAAGCACCAGCAAAGAGGAAATCCCGGACTTCCGTCAACAAGTAGAAGGCAAATAATTGAAACAATTTAACAATAACAATAATTACAAGAAATCAAACTAAAAATACCGTCTAATCTTCTTGTTATTTGTTATAAAAGCTGCAGTGTGGAGGTAGCCCTGATTTATGAAACGCGTCATTAAAAGACTATCTTCACATAAGCCACGTTGGCTTTGAATCTGTTACTCGTCTGCTTTAATTCAGTTCACATTTAACGCTGGCTTATACGGAATTAAAACAAAAGGTAGATGTAACCGCGACGAGACGCGCCCTCGGGACATCACAGAGCACATTAGTCGGTAACCGAGAGTAAAACATGAGAGATTATGTTAATAGGCATTATAGTGTGCTCGGGGAAGACTACGGGAAGAGCTTCACGAGGCCAAGATCCAACATTGACATCTGCACATTTGGCGCCGCGCCAAGCTAGTTGTGTGTTGGTCGACGCTTAAGTTTCGGTTTATAAGAAGTTTGAAGTAAACTAACGAAAACTTGTGATGAACATGCGATGTTATACTTTTATTATTAATTGTATTCATAGGTATTTTACTGGTGGTAGGACCTCTTGTGAGTCCGCGCGGGTAGGTAACACCACCCCGCCTACTTCTGCCGTGAAGCAGTAATGCGTTTCGGTTTGAAGGGTGGGGCAGCCGTTGTAACTATACCTTAGAACTTATATCTCAAGGTGGGTGGCGCATTTACGTTGTAGATGTCTATGGGCTCCAGTAACCACTTAACACCAGGCGGGCTGTGAGCTCGTCCACCCAACTAAGCAATAAAAAAATAATAATAAAAAAGGCTTATTGCTCATCTACCTTTAATCACAGCGTCCGGAAAAAACGGAAAACTATCCGCTGCTCACCGTTAATAAATATGTATTTTCAAATCGCTTTTGAACATATCAAATTGATCTAAAAGTGATTTAGATAATTTTATGACTTATACAATCGACAATAACGCTTACATTCGTTGTATTAAGCTCGTAAGGTAATCTTATAAACTTATAAAAATAATAAGAAGATTTTCTTCTCAATATAAGTGAATTTATAAAATATTTTTAACATGTTAAGCTTCTTATAAGAAACTAAGCCTCTTTCGAAGATCATTTAATAATTTCCAAGAAACGCTATCGTGTCGATTAATGTTCATAGAATATTATTCTTTGAATTTTTTTTTGGTACCTCTGAATATTGTTGTACTAAGGATCTAATGTTTATATTAGTTTTTTACTTCTATGAAGATTACCTTGTTTAAATTTATTTAGTTTTAATTTAGCTAAAAAACGAAATTTTGGGATTGTTTCGGTCATTATTTTACGTTTTACACGGGCGTGACATCTCGCCTATCTGGAGTTAAGGAATCCATAGACATCACAGCTATGACCAATTTGGGTAGAGACCCTGAGAGGTCAGGTTGAGGCTTTAAGTCTAAATAGCGTTGCAATGGCAGATCATCCTTCAAGCCTGATAGTGTTATGGTTTCGAAGCAGAAATGTTCTATCTAAGAAGGTCTTATCTCCCCCAACTACAGTCCCTACCACCCGAAGCTATACAAAGCTATTAATGTGACGTGGAAACTGTCATTGAATAAATTGTAGCAATTGTTTTGTGAACTCGACACAGATCAACTGCGCCAGAGTCGGCCGAGGCCGACGGCGTCTCCGTCAAAATACATTGACCTCATTATACGTTCACTAATCTAAATGGACCTGAGTTTTATTCAGACTTTTATACAAGCGAACGGCCATTTAATGTTTGCCAAAGTAAGAGGCTACTCTGGATAGTATGTAGCAGTAACAGTTCTTCGACGCTCCGTGTGTTATAAAAATTTTAAATATAATATTTGAAACATTCATATTCACATATTGAGTAACGACAATGTTATAAACGATAGTGCGGTAAATTGATTAAATGAAAATTACACATGCAGTTTTTACAACAGAATGTTTTATAGTTTTATTTGCTTTGGACACCATACGTTTAAGGTTTGATTCAATGTCTTTAGGTATATGTTGAGTTTGAATTATCACTTTGTTTGGTTTTGGACCACTGAGATTTAAATTGCCGTCAACGAAAGCAGACTTCACTCCATTAAATGAGAGGGGATTACCATTGCTCATGGACATGGACATTTTTATAATACATATTATATAATAATATATTAATTATATGATATATAATACACATGTATATATTTACTCATAATTTATAGTTCAACATGAACACACGTAAATAAATAAATAATAAAATAAATAATAAATAAATATTTACTAACAATCACGCCACGTTAACTGGTCCCGTGATAAGTTCGTAAAGAACTTGTGTTACAGGTACCAGATAACGGAAATAAATGTAAGATTTTTTATTATACACCTACATATATTTAATATACATCCATAACCCTGGAAAAGGCATTTATATTTATCATACAAATATCTTCCCTTGGCGGGATTCGAACCCGCAACCCCCTTGTGTAGTGACCATGTCACTTACCATTACACCAGATGGCCGTAAAAATAGTTAAATGTAAGTTTTGTTAATATGAAATAGTATATTTGCGTTTACTACTTCTTACCTGGATGAGGAGGATGGTTGTGTTCGGCGGGAGGCTGCATCGAAGATAAGGCAGACAAAGGAGTGTACCGAGCTGTATCTTCTTTTGGGCAGCCCTCCTAATTTCAAAACAAAGTTCCATTAATACCCCAATTAATATACCTCAAATTAATAAAATCTACGCAAAGGTATTTCATCAAACGATTTTTTAATCCAAATACACATTATTTATTTATTTTTGAATGATTATTGTTGGACTTGCAATTTACTAATTCATCTAATCTATCTTTTAATTTATTAAGCAGCTCAAACAGCAAAAATATTGCAAGGCGTTGCTTATTCGTTTTATTACAGTCACTTAAGAGAACATTAATCAATAAATCTTTTCTCCTTTGATATCCATTCGATTGTGCTCCAATGAAACTACGTTTAAACAATAAAGCCTTTAAAATAACTTGAAAGTCAGTGGCTCGAAAGATTGACGGTAAAAAATGGAATAAACAATTTAGAAAATATTAACCTCGAACCAGTCAGACGGAACAAAAGAAGTTAATCGAGCTACGGTATNTTAAGAGAACATTAATCAATAAATCTTTTCTCCTTTGATATCCATTCGATTGTGCTCCAATGAAACTACGTTTAAACAATAAAGCCTTTAAAATAACTTGAAAGTCAGTGGCTCGAAAGATTGACGGTAAAAAATGGAATAAACAATTTAGAAAATATTAACCTCGAACCAGTCAGACGGAACAAAAGAAGTTAATCGAGCTACGGTATCAGTAACAATATTACCAGAGATAAATAAAAGGGAAAATATTGCCAATTTTCTTGAAACTGCTAAGTAATGATACTTCGGAAAGTAAACTAACTATTGTTAAATATCTTCAATATGTTTTTAGTAGTGTTTAATTACGTAATTATTCTTCAGATTGAATGTTCCTTTCATATAGTTTAAAACATCATAGAGCATGTAGTGTTCATTAAAGATGACACAATGTTATCTTCCTTCAAGCGTAAATTGTCCCACAAGTGGGATTATCAATGCAAACATCTCCCATTTGGATTTAGACACTTTAGTTAACACGTAAAAGGTTTATTTTTGTGAGAAAACTTTTGGGAGGGAAAGCAATGAAGGCTAATGTGCGGATAAGGTCCCCGGGGTTGTTTACATAGAACTTACTTCATTACGAGGTATAAATAAGAGTCAAACGACAGCGAACAAAGCGTTTAGCGATTCAGTTTCTTACCAAATTTTTTAGTTTATTTCTTTTTTTAATCAGTTCTATATTTAAAAAGTTAATAAATTCATGTATGAACATACCTTCTCGCAATTAGCCGTCGCAGTTGTTTGCGTGTGACTTGTTGAAGAAATACGGTACTGCATGCCGGATACTGTGCAAAATCCTTCGTGGTGGTGAGTAGAATATACACCAGTGATGGTTACATCGGTATCTTGGTTAACGATAACCTCTACTTTTTGCTTCCTATCTGTTAATTGAGATTCATCGCCCTCTTTTTTTGTTTCATCGTTTTTCATTTCCGACTTCACGCCGGAGCTCACCCCGTTTTTTGACTTTTGAGAAAACGATTCATCGCTACCAGAGTCTGAAGTGGTTTCGTCCTTATTTGACTTAGGAGATCGTTTTTCATAGCTGGCGGCCAGGATAGCGGAAGCGTTTAAGCTAGCCATGCGCTTTTGGACCACCATATCTTTCAAATCCATCACAACTTCGTTTCTATTTCTCTTCTTTTTAATAGGTACTCCGGCTGTTTTCTTCATTTTAGCTGTTGGTTTGTCTGAATCTGACTTCGCTGAAAAAGATTTAGGTATTTTCTTTTTCTCAGGAGATCTCTTTTTGGTGTCCGATTCGCTATCTTCACTTGAAGATGATGAGGATTTTGGATCCCAATATTTTCCTGCGCTTCTTATCCCAGGGACACCACGCAAAGTTCTCTGAGGTAAGCTGTCATCAGAGCTGTCTGAAGAATCGTCTTTTTTATCTATTTTGCTCTCATATTCAGATTCGGATGCACTGCTTTCATGCTTTTCGATGTCCTTTGGCTTAGAGTCCTTTTTCTTAGCTGGTTGTGATTTTGATGTGCTTGGTAAAGCTTGTCGATCTACAGTTTTCATAAGGCCTAGTTCCATATGCGTACGACTCTCATTTTCGTATAAGCAATGTACTTTAGCAATAGCGTTCAGCGATGCCATTCTATGTTTTTTAGGACCTGTCCACATGGATAATAGTTTCAGTCGTCTTTTGCTTGGCTTATCACCGCCCAAAAGTGCACATTCATCTTTCAAATCAATTAAGGAGTCTTTGGATAGTTCTTTTAGTTCTTTAGATGTGGTTTTTTTCATGCTTTCTATGATACGCTTGTATTTTCTTAATTTTGTTTTCTTAGCTTTAGGTGTGTCTGATTCTGAAGAGTCTTTGGTGTCATTTTCATCATTAGATTCATTGGAGCTCTCTTCGGAAGAAGAATGATTAAGCGTTTTACTATTGAGTGCAAATTTACACGTATCAAGCTCTTCATCGGATGAACTTCCTTTTCTATTCTGTTTTTTTGATTTGTTTGTTACTTTTTTGGTAATTATGTTTGTTTTAGCAGGTTTATCATTTTTATGTTGCATTGTTTCTGAATCTAAAAAATGAATTGGGCTAAAAGGTTTGCCAGTAACACTTGATTTCCGTGCTACCATCTTATACGATTTACTAACAATTGGTTTTGGTATTATTGGTGCTTCTTTTACATCAGTCAAATCATTTTTATCCAAGTGGCATATAGTCAAAGTACTTTTAGTGGATTGACATAAATCGACTTCTTCAGAACGTTTATTCGCTTTTAATTGTTTCACTACTTCTTCTATTGGTCTGTGTGGAGAGTACTTCTTCTTCTCTGATTCGGTTTTTTTATCTATAATTGTTCCCTTAACTCTTGCAATAGGGCGAACTCGTCCAATATTTTTATTAATAGGGCTTCTGAAATCTGATAATATGTTCTTGGGCGAATCAACTTTTTCTGTGAAAGTATAGACGTCAATTTCAGGTCCTTGTGATATCAAAGTATTAGAAACATTTTTGTCCTTAGAGTTCTCTTCGGTTTTAGTTTCCAATTTCATTGATAAAAATCTTTCGGACACGCTTAAGTTTCCTTTGGAATTTTTTAAGCATTTAACATCTATATCAACTGTCCTTGGTAATCGAGTTGATGTGAAAAACTTAGGAGGCCTNGTGAAAGTATAGACGTCAATTTCAGGTCCTTGTGATATCAAAGTATTAGAAACATTTTTGTCCTTAGAGTTCTCTTCGGTTTTAGTTTCCAATTTCATTGATAAAAATCTTTCGGACACGCTTAAGTTTCCTTTGGAATTTTTTAAGCATTTAACATCTATATCAACTGTCCTTGGTAATCGAGTTGATGTGAAAAACTTAGGAGGCCTTTCAATTTCAACCTTCGTAGTTTCTGTCAAACTTATAGTGGAAATTTTTGATGCAGTGCTTGGTGAGGCGGATTTATTATTATCACTCTTAGTTTCAGTTTTAGCATTGACAGTGGCTTCATCTTTGTTATCATGATTGTCTAATTCTTCATCATCTATATTACTTTGACAGCAGTTTGCGGCTGATTCAATTGTTTCACATCCACTTTTTCTGTCTTTAGTACTGTCATTGGCTGATTTATCTTTTTCAGTATTAGCTTGTTTTGTTTGTTGTGAACTCTTTTTCTTTAAATCAGCTTTTTTAACAATTGTCTTTGTTTTACATACTTTCTTTGTTACCTTTTTCGGTGTTTCCCTGTTTGTTTTGTACTTTGTATCAGTTTGTTTTGTATCTTTATTCATTTTAGCCTTAGGGTTTATTCTTTTCTTATTTACAGTATTACTTTTTTTTGTTGGTGCCCTTTTCGTATTGGTTTCTGTCAAGGTTTTAAGCGTGTCTTTCTTCTCTTTGGGCCCACTTTTAGTTTTTTTGACCGGTGAATCGGTGCGTAATTTACTTGTTCCAGGCTTAGCATTATCAGCTGCTGAATCAGGACTGCTAGCAGCTCCCGCGTCGTCATCACTTTTACTGGAACTGTCATCTTTGGCAGAACTTTTTTTAGGTTGTTTGACCAAAGCTTTACTAACAATTTTCTTTACCTTTTTAGCGGGTACTTTTTTCTTCTTAATAACTTTAGGGGTTATTGATTTAGAGTGAATTTTACTAAGCTCCCCCTTTTTAGGTGAAGGTTTAGAAGCCTGTGACCTCATTGTCAGTTGCGGTCAAGTTGATATCCTCATGGATAGAAAGGATGATTACATTCTGAAACAAAAATATTTACCGTTAAAATACAATTTTATAATAATTACGATAAAGGGACTGGTCTTTTAGATGTTTGAACAATCTCTTAATTCTTAAAGTAAAAAGTTATAAAGTTATAAGTCAGTTCTAAAATAATACAATCGTAAATGCTCATGAAAAACGATAAATATGTTTTAAACTCTTAAATGTTTTTTTCTAAAAATCTTTCATAAATAACTCTTAAAATTTTTTATACCGTTTTCTAAAGTAATAGATACTTCAATTAACTAACTCAAGAATGGCTACAAAATTCACGTAACGTTATCCATAGACTTTGATAACCACTTGAACAGATGTAATAAAACACTTCACTTTGTTATATTTTCTCGACACTGTACTTCTCTTATCATTCAGTTAAATTTTTATTGGCGCTCCCATAACAAACAGCTTAAATGCTGATATATCTAGTTTCACAGTTTCGCCTTTAAAATGTAGAGTCCATAACAATTATCTGTATACTTGAAACTTTTATTGCTCGCAAGGGGTGGTGTAGCTATAAACCTACCCGTCACTTCGATCCACATAGATCTAATTTGACTTCTATGAAACCATCTCTTACGAGGATTCAATAAATGAAAATAGATTATTTGATGTCGCTACGGTAATCTTTCTTTCTTTTCCGAATATTATTATTTTATAAGCCGTTCCATTGCGTTGTTAACTAATAACTAAATGCTATTGCTATTTTTGTGCTCGCGCTTGTGCAATGTGCTTTGCTAATCACCTTAAGGTTATTAATTATCATATCATAACTATACTGGGATCTTAGAACTTATATCTCGAGGTGGGTGGCGCATTTACGTTGTAGATGTCTATGGGCACCAGTAACCACTTAACACCAGGTAGGCTGTGAGTTCGTCCATCCATCTAAGCAATAAAAAAAAAAATCACTTCAAAGCACTTTGAACTTGCGCTTTTTACTAAAATTTTAAAAGAATTGTTTCCCTTCTGAAACAGACAAATTAACAGATAACCGACCATCACTGGTTGCGGGGATGTTTAAATTTATTTTTAAGATATAATGTGAAGTTCATTTCAGGCAGTTCGAAAGAGATTATTTTGTTCATGGCCATAATGTGTTCTGCAATCAATTTCATCTATACTTTGATTGCATCTTTAACGAAACGTGAGGTTTAATTTAATCATGTAGGTAAACAACAGAAGGGCACACGGTCCACAAGGTCCTTTGTTGTTTATACTAAGGTGCGTACGACTATTTGTCCAGCACAATACATGCTCCCCAACAGAAACAATTGTAATGACCTAATAGCTGTCGGGTACTCGAGTCGAACAAAGTTCAGGTAAAGAATTTGACGTCGAATACGTAAGATATGAGTGTTTGCAGTTTGCCTTACTGTCGCAATCCAAAAAAATAATAAGTTTGAGAATAATATAATAAGTTTGGGATTTGCTAACAGCTACCCGAGCGCCTCCAAAGTAGACCTAGCAACTCAAGAGCACTGATTCGCGAATGAATCTACTACCGGATCGGAATCGCGACCCGCTGAGAAGATCCGGTGAGAAACTCAGCGGGCTAATGCATGGCATGGGTTATGTTGCATGTCGAACTCTTTTTGCCGATATCGATGAGTACGGTTGCTGGGGCTCCCAAGCCTGCCCTAGCATTAGAGCTGAAGGCATCTAATGCAAGAGTTGGATCTGATGGATCCGTAAGGATGAGAACACTGGATGGAGTATGTATCTTTAGCTGTGCCAAATTTCAAATTACACCGATGTATGCAATGTCCTTTAAAGGATTCAAAGTTTTTCTTCTGGTATTATTATATGTTATCATAAATAATAATATGTTTTTGTACTAATTTTCCTTATAACTTTTAATTATGCATTTCTCATAGATCTCTGTACGAGCACTCTGCTTATTAAGCGATATAAAGTTTTATCTCCGCGTACATATATACATATACTACATACATATATGTTTATACAAATGTATGTAAATCAAAAATTCAGAACGAATAAGTAATCATTCGTGTTCGTACGTTCGGATATGTCTTTTGATCTCTTTAAATGATTTTTTTTACTATTTTTTTAATTATTATTAAATCATCGGCATGATTGAAAAAAATTATCGATTAAATTTATTGTAAGTTTTCAGGTAACGCCGACCCAACGAATCACATAAATCCACTATTTTTTATTGTTTTCGAATTATAACTTACTTTAGTAGACATTAAATACTTATTATTATACAAAAAAAACTTCTGTTATTCACAGAGTTTTACTAAATAAAACAAAAACGCGGACACGTTCTTCGAAATTCAGTGCTAAAGAAAAACGGGCTGCGGAAAATTATTTTCCTCAGTCGGCACGGTTATACTCACAGTAATAATATAATTAAAGCGATGACTCGCCTTTTGTCAAGTTAATCTATTAAGCCGCCGCAGTGGAGAACAAACCCTTGTTATTATTCGAATGATTTTATTTTACCGTTACCAGACACTAAGAGAAAGACGTTGTTTGTCTAATATAAGAAACAATCACTAACGTTTTTTCAATGCAATCTGTTTATTATAGTCTTTTCAGAGCTCATCGAGCGTGTCCTAATTTAAAATTAAGAAATAAATAAAAGGGTTTTATGATATAATATGGTCATTAATTACATAAAATAATAATATTACGTCATGTCACATGATAACTTTAATATAATAAATGACATGTTATCTTTTTTTCTTATCGTAAGATGTTTTGATATATATATGTGGTTAATAATATAATTAGTAATAGTTTAAATAGAGCATTTTATAATTTTATTTATTGCTAACTTTAATAGATTCTAGTATCGGCTTTGTATTTGGTTTAACAAACCGTTGAAGTTTTAATTGTACAAGTCGCTTCTGTAACTCGCTTTCTTTTACAAAGCGTTTGGTACTGAGTATTGTATAAGTCACTCTCTCTCAGTCTCCTTAGTTCGTTTGAAGGAAATAAAACTTGAAAGCCTGTTAAGGTCTTGGAAACACTAGACTGCAAACAATGAATTTGAAGACGAGATTACAGAGAAATCCGACTGAAAACCCTGATTTACATTTTTGAAGTACATAATATATTATAATCATCTTTTTTTATTTGTTTTATTGCCCTTGTAGGCAGACGAGCATACGGCCCACCTGATGGTGAGTGGTTATTGTCGCCCATGGACTTTGGCAATGCCAGGGGCAGAGCCAAGCCGCTGCCTAAAATCTATTGGGAAATCTAATCTATAAATCTATTCATCTATTGGGAAACCAATGAACAAATGCGATTTGAACACAAAAGGTGTAAAGGAACATATCTGTTTTAACACAAATTACATTACACATTGGTGAGGACCTTTAAGTGGCTTTATGTTTCAATTTGTTGTTATTTTATTCTATTATGCTGAGTTGTACTGTTGGTTCTCCTTGTAATAAATAAATAAAATGGATAAATAGGTAAGTTCTCTACTTAAATATTACTATATACATATTTAAGAACTTTTCATAAATTCTCGGTTTCAATTTTTTCCGTTTATACCTTAGTCAAGCTATAAAATATTTTAAACGGTTCACTTCCTTATAATTGTCACTTAAGCCTTGTTCGGACTAGGCGAGTATTTTAGTCGAGCACCGAGTAATTTAGTAGCTGAATGTGTCTGAGCACTAAAAATTTAGTCGAGTAGGTTAGTAAATAATTTAGTCAAGTCAATCCATTTTGTTCTATTTTTTTCGGGCGAGTAGAGAGTAGTTTAGCCACTAAATTACTCGGTACTCGACTAAAATGCTCGCCTAGTCCGAACAAGGCTTAAAAGAGTGACTAAATTGTATGTAATGCTTTTGATTATACCGCTATGAATAAAACAGCAATTAAAGCTGAATTAATAAGCTTAATTTTAGTTATAATCAACTCACCATGCGTTTTCAGAGATCATTTATACTACGAAACATCGGGCTCTGGAATGGACACAAGGGAATTTTCTAAGTACTAATAAAGGTTCTGCTTTAAGCGCGGTTAGATATTCCTCAGTGATAACCAGCGGTTTGGCTGTGCTAATTTCCATAAGCGATAGAGTCTAGACACCGACATTGGCAGCACCTTCGTATGCGTTCCAATGCGATAAATAATGTAATAACAATATTGGTCAACAAGCGGCCCGTTCCGGCTCCGCTCGGGTATTTAACAAAAATTTCAACGATATTTTACGTTAATTTATATTTTAAAATAAAAGAACACTTACCGCGGCATAACTATAATAGTTAGACATATGCTGTCGCGACACTTTTTGTAAATAAGAATGTGTTCTACAAAGACGTAGTACATTATTTTATTCTATCATCAATAGTTTTCGCAGGGCACGCGTTGTAAAGAATATTTTAAGTAATTTTTTTACACCTTGGGTTACGTTATTGGTGTTTTAGTAAGGATGCCAAATTTTTTCAAAAAAAGTTATTAGCCTATGTCGCTCGGGAATAGTGTAGCTTCCAAACAATGAAAGAATTTTTCAATTCGGTTCAGTAGTTTCGGAGCCTATTCAATACAAACAAACAAACAAATCTTTCCTCTTTATAATATTAAGTACTAGCTTTTGCCCGCGACTCCGTCCGCGTGGAATAGTTACTTTGGCATAACGCTAAATTTTACCGTAGAAAGTGAAAATATTTTTCGTAAAAAAAAATTTTTTTTCTTAATAAAAAGTATCCTATGTTACTTCTAATACCTCCAAGAATATGTGTTCAAAGTTTCATGATGATCAGTTGAGTAGTTTACGCGTGAAAGCGTAACAAACAAACTCACATTCACATTTATATATTAGTAGGGATTGATCTATTAATTCTGAATGTAAATTGATTGTTGAACAAAAACGGTAGTTCTATAACCTCCAGTAGATCAGAGTACATATTGAGGATTGGTAACTAAACGACAACAGCGGCGGGATGGAAGGATATTGATCGAATTGCGAAACAACATTTAACAACCGAGGCACTTCA